CCCATTCATCTGTGTATGTGCGTACGGGGCTGAGCATCTTCTATGTATGTCTCAGACCCCACACCTCACGATTGTATGTGTGTGGAGTGATGCTACGTGAGTCAGTCCTTTCATCAGACTTCCGTTGCATATATGCTCATCCTACATTGGTTGATCCTTGGTTCTGCCCATACTCATTAGAGTATGTGACAGTTTTGGTATCAGAGCAGACCATATAACGGATCTGCTCACAAAGGTAAGACTGATTTAGGAATTAGATTGTTCTTCAATCTTCCCAATCAGCGTTGTACTACTATCAAGTTCAAGTTGCAAATTTTTCCGGTAGTCTGGTTATTTCGGCATTTCCTGTTCAATTACGAAAATCTTTTGGGTTTTAGATCAACTTGGGGAAATTCGAACGTTTTGGGGACCGTAAATCCGGAAATTTCGTGGAAACGCGGAAAATTAGGGTTGGGACCGATATTTTCGCGATTTTTTTTTTTATTCCCCTTGTTTGAGAAATTCCGAAAACAGGTTTAGGCTTTTAAAAATCGGATTTTGACGGTGGAAATTCCCAAAAATTCGCGTTTTTGAAAATTCGAGCGTTTTTTCTTTTGAATTTTTTCGAAATTTTTTTAGCACACTATCTAACCCTCAAACTGGAACTTCCGGGTAGTTAACTCATTAACGGTGAACTCCCGGACTCAAAGAGACCTAATCATAACACCTTTCAAATTCGTTTATAATTGTAATTATTGTTTATCGATTATCTTTATTGCAAATAATGATTATTTCATTAGGAGTATTTCGTTATTTATCATTAATTAATTTTATTGATTAAATTGTTATTACGAATTTTTGAATGGTTTACGGGAAATTTATTTTTCTGTTTGATTAGGTGTCTACAGTCAATCAGTGGGACAGGGGACTGTATGCATATTGTTTGATTGTTCTACCCCTGTTCCCACTCTCCCTACCCTCCTCGTATTCTGTGACCACCGGGACCTCTCAAGTACCGCATCAGTCCACACCGATGTTGATGGAACAGGATACCGGGGCACTGCCACGGCGCAGTGCCAGGCTCGCAGTTTGTGCTCGACCTACGGTACCTCCACGAACCAAGGCTCAGCAACAGAGACTCAGCAGGCGGACGACTCCAGCGGCATCGAGTACAACATTGACGGTACCAGACACCACCGGAGTTCTTCCCGCATGCCCGGTCCGAAGGGCCAGTGAGCCGTTGGCTGACTATTTTGGGCGGTTACAGGTATTTACAGATACCGTAGCTGCCGCCAAGGCTCAGCAGGAGGCAGCAGAGGCAGAACGTCAGCGGCTGGCCAATGAAGCGGCAGCCCACGCTCAGCAGACTGCTGAGGCTGACGCAGCGGCACGAGACCAACGGAATGCCACCAGTACGGAGTCCCTGATTCATAGTGAAAGTCAGTGGACAACGTTCCTCCAAGGCATGATCTTTGTTTGGACGCGCAGGCAGATCCGACACCGGCGGAGGCAGAGAGCACTCACCTGGCTAACTTGATGCTGGCATGATGAGAGGCATCATGTGGAATGACACACTGCTGCAGGCACATCTGCGCACGGAACGATAGCAGCGACAAAACTACCAGCAAGACATTGTTGTTTTAACAACTACCATCCGCGCCGAAGCAACGCAGCAGCAGCAACAGCATCAGCTGTTGAACTCCGCTCTCGCACGCATGAACAGCATTGAGGCTAACGCCTCAGCAACGCCAGGCTGCACGACAGACGCGACGAAGCAACTCAATGAGCGCATCGATCACGTCGTCAACATCACTGGTGACATAGGTGTTTTCAATGGGCCGGACACGATCAGTAGCACGGTGGCCGCCATCAAGACGGACATCACCAAGCTGCAGACGAGACCGGACGCCGCTACAAAGACTTACAAGATGCCGCACTTCGACATCAGCAAGTTCGACGACTACAACAAGTCAGACTACAACAAGTCGGACGCCTTGACATGGTGGCAACGTTTCCTCACGGAAGCATCATGCCACACTGTTTTCGACAGACGACATGATGAAGGCACTCTACTTGCAACTAATTGGAGGAGCGCAGGCTTGGATGAACCATCTGGCGGCTACCAACAAATGCACCATTGCCGACCTCCACACGCACATCACGTGGAAAGAGTTCGAGAAGCTATGGTTCACCCGGTTCATGGTCCGCAACGTCGGGAAGGTGGCCATGAACGAGGTGTACACCTGCTCTCAAGGAAATATGCCAACTCGAGACTGGACAACCAAGTGGCAGAAGATAGTGACCACACCAGAATTCGATTTGAGTTTTCCAAATCAACGATCCGAGTTCTTCTCGCGATCGTGCGCGGGACTGCGGTCGGCACTCGACAATGAGTACGACTTTGACACGTTCCAGGCCATTCTGGATCGTGCGAACTTAGTCATCCAAACGGATGACAAGGCCGCAAACGAACGGCAGTCCCAGCTGCATTATGTGGCTAAGCAGGGCTATCAACGTCCGACACATAACAATGCCGTGATTTATGAAGAAACAGACGATCTCCATGCTGCAGCAGCATCCTCGAGTGATGGAGGAATTGTAGCAGCGCTCCCGCCGAAGCGTCCCAAGAGAGTTCGGAAGAACAAGGCGACACAAGAGACAGCATCGACGGGAACTGGGCAGCAGCCATGGACGTGTTACAAGGTAACCAAGGATGTCTATGACCTTCGTCAAAAGTACGGATACTGCCTTTGGTGCAACGGCGTCACTCATGTGATCGCACAATGCCCCGAAAAGGGCAAGGCACACGTACCCCGTCCAGCAAACTCGGGAAACTGAGTTACGCAAGGAGAGGGGCGRCGTCTCTCCTCACTCCGCCGGACCCGGTTGCCTTGCTAGCAATCGATGTYACTACCGGGGAGCATGCGTTAGTCGCTGATTCTCGTGCCACGCACGAGCATTATGCCGCCCAGCTGATACCACCATTAGACCAGCCAAGCCATGTGCACTTAGCTAGCGTATGCGCARCCTGTACACCGTCGGCAAGTGATCCGGTCAGTTCGCCACTGATTTCCGAGGACTCGACGGCGTGGTCAAGACTTGAGGAGCTTGACCCGCTCTTCTCGACAAGGGCTGGATTCGCCCTAGTTGCTCGCCATACGGTGCACCTGTTCTCTTCGTCCGGAAGAAGAACAAAGATTTACGGTTATGCATCGACTATCGGAAACTTAACGCACAAACCGTAAAGAACGCCGGCCCTCTCCCTCGGATTGATGATCTCCTTGAGCGGTTAGGCGGCGCGACGTACTTCTCGAAGTTGGACTTGAAGTCAGGGTACCACCAGATTGAAATCCAGCCTCAAGACCGGTACAAGACCGCGTTCAAGACGCGGTACGGGCATTTTGAGTGGGTTGTCATGCCCTTTGGCCTCACCAATGCCCCGACAACTTTTCAAGCAGCGATGACGATTGAGTTTCGCGACTTGCTCGATCGCAGCGTCCTCATCTACCTTGATGACATCTTGGTATATAGTAGGACGTCGGACGAGTACATCGTACACCTTCGCGTTGTTCTGGATTGTTTGCGACTAACCAAGTACAAAGCGAATCTCGACAAGTGCGAATTCGCCAAGCAAGAGCTTGAATACTTGGGTCATTTTGTCACACTGAAAGGCATTCGTCCCTTAGCGGACAAGATCCAAGCCATCGTGGATTCGTCGGTACCCCGTTGCACGACGGATGTACGCTCTTTCATGGGTTTGGCTGGATATCATCAGCGATTCGTCGAGTCATACTCGAAAGTGGCCGCTCCTTTGACGGGACTTCAGTCCACGAAGGTGCCCTTCGAGTTCGACGACGCAGCCCGTGGCGCGTTCACTACGTTGAAGGCAGCGATGCAAGCCGCACCTGCCCTCCGCATATAGGACCCCACCCTACCCACTCAAGTGACTACGGACGCTTCGGGATACGGTATTGGTGCGGTGTTGGAACAGTGTCATGAGGAACACTCTCGACGACGCTAGGAAGAAAGAGCTACTCGCGTTCGTCACCGTTCTCAAACGATGGCGCTACTTTCTTCTCGACCGTCGGCGTTTTAAATGGAATACGGACAACAATCCGTTGACCTTTTATAAAACGCAAGACACTGTCACTAGCACGATCGGTCGATGGATGTATTACATCGACCAGTTCGGTTTTTTCCCCTGCCACATTCCCGGTCCCGCCAATCGAGCTGCGGACGCCCTCTCACAACGGCCCGACTTTTGTGCCATTGTGACCACGACATTCGACCTCGATGACGATCTGCAGCCGCATTTCGTCAAAGGCTACAAGTCCGACCCGACTTAGTCTTAGCTTTACGCGGAGCTTTCATCGGATCACCCGCCGGTTAGCCACTATCGGATTTCCGACGGGTTCCTTCTCCTTCACACGAGAGGAAAGGACTTGTTAGTTGTGCCCCAAGATTGCATCTTACGGACTCGTCTTCTTGGCGAATTCCACGATGCACGACTTTCGGCACACCTTGGCGTGAACCGCACACTAGCACGCCTCCGCCAGCGTTTTCACTGGCCCGACGTCCTTCATGACGTCACGAGGTACATTGAGTCATGTGCAGTTTGCCACCGTAACAAGGGTCGATCTCGAGTCCCCTTCGGCGAACTGAAACCGTTCCCGATTCCTCGGGCACCACGTCTCTCCATTGCTATGGACGTGACAGGCCCGTTTCCCCGCGATCGCCACGGCCATGACGGTATTCTCACGGTCGTTGACCGTTTGAGCAAGTATGCTCGCTTCCTTCCTTGCAAGTATCATGCTGCAGCGCCTGAGCTCGCACGACTCTTGCACACCGGTTGGATTACCAACCAAGGTGTTYCGGAAGACATAGWGAGYGACCGAGATACTCGTTTCATGTCAGCCTTTTGGACTTCACTCATGGCTGAGTCAGGTACGACAATGAAACCAAGCTCGGCTCGACACCCACAGACGGATGGTCAGACGGAGCGAGCGCACCAGACCGCTCAGATGATGTTGCGTACGCTCATCCATCCCGACCAGAAAGATTGGGTTGACCGGCTTCCCAATATCGAGTTCGCCTATAACACTTCGGTGCACCCGGCGATCTGCGTCACACCATTTGAGTTACATCATGGTGGAGAGAAAGCACGGATCTTCGCTGATCTCCTTTTGCCACAGGCTGCCGACATAGACGTCCCTTGCTCTCCCGCTTTCGTCCGGAAGTACCGGGACTTGCTGATCAAAGCCCGTGCAAATATGCAAAAGGCTCAGATCTGCATGCAGCAGCAAGCTTACCGACGTCGACTTCCATGTCCTTTCCGCGAGGGAGACCTTGTTTGGGTCCTCTCCAAGGAATTTGCGCTCGAGCAGGACGTTTCGCGCAAACTCCTTCGAAATGGTTCGGACCATGGGAAGTCACTTCTGTCGTTGGAGACGATCCCGCAGGTCCTTCCTTCGTGATCAACATTCCACCGCACCTGACAGTGCATCGGGTCTTCCACGCATCGAAGCTGGCCATCTACACGCCACCTTCAAATGACGAGTTTCCTGGACGTCGATCACAGGATCCGCCCTCCATGGACGGACATCAGGAAGTGGATCGAGTCACCACGCACCGCAAGTATGGCAACAAGCCAAGGCAGTACAAAGTCACATTCAAGCAATGTGCGCCTAATGACACTCGGTGAATCTCCAGTACAGATTTGCAGACTTCTGCACCCCTTATCTTCGCCGACTATGAGAAGCGACGCCTTGCTAAGGACGCAGCTCGTCCCGCCCGACCCACCCCGGTATCGGACAGACAACTTCGCCCTCGTAGGTAGCTCAGTCTTTTAAGAGGGGGAGTGTGTTACATCTTCGACGCCACACGGGTCCTACCGGACCCGGCTTAGGGCTAGAGGGACACATCAGGGCCTAAAGGCCCGACCTTGGGGGTACTACAGGCCATAAAGGCCTCACCTTGGACCAGACCCGACTTGCAGGCCCAAATGACATTACCGTTTGGGCCTGGCGGCGCTCTTGAGGCTGCCGCCCCCCGGTTGGGGCTGAACCGTCCATCTGGATGGTTCAGGGCACGGCCAGGCCTCGCAACATTGAGGCCGGCCTCTGCCCCAACGGTATATAGAACCGGTCCGGCCTCACTTCGGGGATCGACCCACCGGTATATGATACGGTGCGGTAAGGTCGGCACCAGAGTGCCGTTGGAGCGCTATGTTTAGCGCAGGAGCGAGGAGCAGGCAGCGCAGCAGCAGCGGCGATTGGGTTACCGGCGGCCATAGCCGCCTGTGGTACCGGGAGTTGGAGGCTTCTCTCCTCCCTCCCATCGCCAGTCCCCTCTCTCTCCCTCTCCTCATCGGCTCCCTCCTTCTTCTCCTTCTTCTTCTCCTTCTTCTTCTTCTTCTTGTTCTTCTTCAGATTGGACAGAGATCAGAGTTGGACTTCGGTGGTATGAGACTGTGGTACTTACCAGATTGGAGACTTGGAGATCGTTGGGGTTGA